GTCTAAGTCTTCTCAAAATCTAAACCGTGATTCTAAATTCTGTAGGTATACTTCCAAAGTTGATCGTCATTTACAAACCAAAATTTATATACATGTGTATGTACAGATGCAAAGTCATTCTATACATGGTACATGTGTTTACACACATACTATGTGAGAAATGTATTCAGCACAATGCTGTGCGCTCTACATGACTTATGAGCCAGTGAAAAGTAGACTAGCTTGTATCTGAATATGTACGCAGCGATCAACATATGAGTACATACACCCACATGAACATCATAATAGGTTGCGGGACTTAACACATACAAACTCAAACATCGTTCTACTTTGTCATTACAGAAAATATGATATGTACGTGAGACCTTATATTTAAAGTGTGCTCAGCTAGAAAATATACACATGTTATAGACACATACATTCTAATAAGAGCATGCGCGTAATGAACTTGACCCTCATTGCTGAGCTCGCATCGCGAAGTCAAATTCAAATACAACACTGAATCATACCTTCAAAAAATCACCTCCTTGAACCATGAACTCTTTGATGATTCTGTGCATAACTGAGTTTTTGTAGCCCTGAGGGACGCCATTAGCAATATGTTCACCGGTACAAAATTGTCGGAAATTCTCGGCGGTCTTAGGCACCTGATGAACACGAAAAGGAAGGCGTGTACACAGTAGAAAATACCATTAGAATCATCCCACGGAATGAAAGCATGAATATATATATATATATATATATATGATGGTGTATGCCTGTATGAATATTCGTATGTAGGTGGGTACATGTTTGTATATATAAATATATATATATATATATATATATGATGGTGTATGCCTGTATGAATATACGTATGTATGTAGGTGTATGTTTATGTATATATATATATATATATATGATCGTGTATGCCTGTATGAATATACGAATGAATGTAGGTTTTGTTTATTATATATATATATATATATATATATATATATATATATATATATTGTCTGTGAACGTATATGTGAAAAGGTCGTCGAATTTCAACGCACAGTACAGGGCATATCCAAAAAATTTAATAGAATGATACACATCACAGCGATTTTTCTGTTAATTGTGGGCGAACACTTACCCATCTTAGACTGAGTGCTTCCGCACGTTTGGTACGTTCCATAAGAGAACCACGCAGGTCCATAACATTACAGTACAACTTAGGGTGGATGAAAGCAGAAACTCGAGGCAATCACATACTTATACGCATGGACGCATGTCAGATCATGAGAAAGGGCACATAATTTGACATACCTTGTCAGCAAAAAGTTCAAACTTCATTCTGCCGACATCTTGCCCTCCAATGCTGACGTCCATGAAAACGACTGGGTTTTTATTGTTGCTCAAAGCAATGCTTGTTTTGGGTACAGGTAAGGACATCTTTACAGCAATTTGAATCCACCTCTCTCTCTTTCTCTTTTTCTCTATTCAGGTTGAGAATTGACTGTTTGTATTATGAACATGACTCGCTTGTGGCTGCAATATATCTAACTACTGCTGCAGTGTTTCTCCAAAGCTGTCAGAGTGAAAGGGTCGATAGGGTTTAATTTGCCGATCTGCTAAACGGCGGTCTCACAGGCCACAAAATAATCACAATTTTGTTTTTAAAAACAAACCGGAAATCATTAAAAAAAAGCCTTCCTGTGCCCCAGCCTTATTCCCCCCCCCCCCTCACTATTTTAGGGTTTACTTGTATGAACATGTATATTTACAATTTAGGAGGCTTTGATATATGTAAATATATATATTATCTTTCCAATCCGCATGCACACACTGTTGTAAAGTGCGTCTTATCTAGGTCACATTACACTGGTTTTTCACTCGTGACACAATGGTGACAAATGAGTCTACGTTAGCGACAGCGCCTTCGCAAACAAGGTCGAGAATAACAGAGTACCTGGACGGCGCACAGGCAGATCCAAACTTCAATCGTAATCTCTTTATGGGGTTCTCCATTTCTATGTTAGGCGCCGGATTCATGCTAGGTCTACGAAGGGGTATTAGAAAGAAGACGAAGGCGAGACAAACACCTATGACTATTCAGCAACAACAACGTCAAAAACAACTGTCACACTCCCATACAGACACAACACGCCTTGGTCATAACAATACATCCGATTTAAAGCGTACGAAGCCTATACCCATACTATTACACATACCAGCGCACTTAGAAGGGGGTCTAATGCAGGAGCACACAAAGGCGCTAAAAGAAGCGGCTGTCTCTAAAGGAGAGAAGGACTACCGTTCCGCGGCGAGTGCGCTTGCCATCGCCACTGTGCTTTCTGTGGGCAGCTTCTCTGCGCTTGTGTATGGCAGCTGCCGGGCGTTAGGAGTTGACAATGTATGTATTTTCTTATATATGTCTGTCTGTCTGTCTATATATATATATATATATATATATATATATATGTATGTATGCTATATATATATATATACATATATATATATATGTATATATATATATATATATCCATACTTATATATATATATACATACATATTCATATATATATACATTTATATATATATATATATATATATATATATATCAATATATATATATG